TTGTGGCTATTCTCATGCTACAGTCATTAGATATCGAGAGAAGAGAGGAAGAGATTTTAAAACTTTCTCTCTATATAAATAAATTCTTGTTAGAAAATATTAACCAGCCAGGAAGTTTCTCACAGAACTGAAGAGTGGAACGTTGAAAGAGATTCAAAACAAGGAATTACGAGGAATTGTTGACTGGCGAAAGTATGGCATAGAGTTCCAGCCCAAACAGCTTCTGCCACACAAACTAATATGAATTGATGTAATCAAAGTAGAAACAGATGGCACACAGTATGTATTTACACTGCTGTAATCTTTTGTTACATTTCCTCGTTTTTACGATTAACCAATGATTAGCACTTTTTCTGCAAGTTTTGTCCAATTATTCAAGGTTATGACATTTCTTCTCAACATTGTTTCGTTTTTGTTTTAGAACTTCATCAAAGACAACACCCTTCATATCCCAAGGTATGAATTGCATTGAACTGTTGTGTTAATTCTCGTTTGCAAAAGTTAAATATTGGCAGGCCCTGGCTGTTCAAATCAAGGGAAATTTCTAGAGAAATATTTCCTAACAGAAACTTGCCAAGACATTGTTGGCATGTCACGATACGTAAAAATTCTTTTCCACAGACAGAACGAATTTTTTTTTCTGTTGCTGAAGATCACTTTTTTGAATTTATACAGCATATAACGTCTGATATGGGTCTGATCAAAACTCATTTTAAAAATTTACCATCTCTGATATTCAGTAATCTGGAAAAAAAGCCCGAGAACGAAAAAAATAATGGCAATTTAAAAAAAAATGGTTATTTTACCGTAATTATTGAAAAGTAATTCTCAAAATGATAATATAAAAAATCCGACAGTATTTTAATTCCACCCTAATAGTTATTTACTGAATTTTAATCTGAAATTTTCAGTGTTTACCGAGCTATCCGTGTGATTAATTGCTGAATTAACTTCATTGAGAAGGAAAGAGATTATCTTGAAAAATAATTGTTTGTTGTGTTAAATATCTTTTTTTCATTAGTCGGCCGCGGAATTATGACTAATTAGTTTCTGAAAATTACCATGAATAAATGACATTCGAATAATAACGTAGAAATGTGTGATAAAAAGAAATAATAAGATAAATAAAACAAAAGCAAAATTAGATAGATAGATAGATTTTCTTTTATTCATTAATTTATTCACTGAGATAAACAGATAATTAGGTAAGATAAAAAAACAAAACAATTTATTATAATAGAATATATGTTGCAAATTCAAAATGCTTTGGTCTCTCATACGAAATATTTTCACTTCACCTTTAGAAAGTATTTAACGTGAGAGATTGTGATAAAATAAAAGCAAAGATATGCTTCATGTTAATTAATTTAAGGCTTTCTATGTATGGTGTTACGGAATCCGTTTTGTAGCTATTCTCATTCTACATTCATTAGATATCTTGAGAAGACAGGAAGATATTTAAATCTATCTCAATACATAGATAGATTCTTGCTATAAAATATCATACGGTCGTGAAGTTTCTCACTGAAATACTAAATTCAGAAATACTAAATTCAGAAATACTAGCGCAGCACAGTCTTTTGCAAATGGCTCGCTGTCAAGATCTACCAAATCTCAACCACACTTTAACAAGTTAGCTTACGTTCCATGGACAATATCAGCAGAAAATCTTTAACACTCGCTTACAACCAACCGTGTAAATCAATATAAATGAATAATTTAAAAAAATGATTTTTCAATATTATTTAAATGAATAATTTCCTGTATTTATTTCTAATTAAATGACATTTTCTGCATATGAGTTCTAGTTGAAAGCTATCTTATGACAATGTTAAAAATTATATTATGACAGTGTTGAAATTTTTTTGTGTGGGGAGGGGAGGAGATATTATCTCTATCTATAAAAGGCAGGATGTGTGTGTGTGTGTGTGTGTGTGTGTGTGTGTGTGTGCGTGCGTGTAACGAATGCACGACTGCAATTTTCGACGGATTTGCACCAAAATTTACATGCTCATGCTCCAAGTTAGCGGAAGGCCAAGACCGACTTTGCATTTCCCAACTCCTATCGATAGTGGAAATAATCGATTTTTTCATGCTTCTACGGCAGTTTTCATGTAGTTTGCGGCCATTTTCTACTGGCCAGAGTGAGAGCCAATAGCTGACTGCCACGAATAGGCAGGAAGATTCTATTGGCCAGCGTGAGAGCCAACAGCTGACTGACACGAATGTTAACTAGCATGCTAGCATGCAAAAATAAATCGATAGCTGCATTCGTCACAAGTGGGAAAAATTTAAATCTGCATGGCACTTTACTCCAATTGGCTCATTCGCTTGCTTAAACTCAATGTTGATTCTGATTCCGCAGAACTGGGATGGGTGTGAAAAAGTATTTGTTGTTAACATTCTTTTTTCATTCAGTTGATCGTTTTGCGTTTATTTTGTTTAGTTCTTTTTTCGTAACAGATTTAATAGAGCTTAGAAAAAGTTCGCAGTGTGAGCTAGGCAAGAAGTAAGGCATGTAGCAACATCAGCACGGCAAAGGACACTCCTTTAAAGGCAAAGGAAGAGCAAAAATATTTGATGTCAAGTGATAGCGATTGCTGTATGAGTCGTACGATTTTTGAATCAAGCACGGGCAACGCCGGGCCATGCTTCTAGTTATGCATAAGTTCAAATATATTGGTCGCAGAAACATGTATTTGATTAACACAGTATCTCATATGCACGAATAAATTATTATTTTACATTTTAAATGTGGAAAAGATAAGGATTAACTGTAAACTTGAACAGGTTAACATTGTAGAAGTCCTGAAAGCATTCCCTTGGGAGTTGATTCCATAAGGTATTGGCTCATGGGAACAAGACGTTCACTGGAACTTACTTCTCATATTTTATTTACTGAGAGTTTTAGAACACTAAGTGGGCTTTCTTATTGGCATACACTCTTGCACACTTGTGCAAAACTAATCAATCCTATGAATTAAATAATAGTAAAAATATATATATATATATATATATATATATATATATTAGTAAAATTATATATATGTGTGTGCGTGTGTGCGCGCACGTCGGGTACTTGAGAACAAATTTTAATTTGATGCTATTTGATGTTATTTAACATTAAAAAATACCAGCAAACATTTTTATAAAAAATTACGATCAAAAGATTTTGTAATGAAATTACCAACAATACATTTCATAATTAAATGACAATCAATAAAACACTAAAAAGTATAAAAATACATTTTTATTGTAAAATGACCTGCAATACATTTTTAAAGTAAAATTATCAACAATACAATATATATAATTTTATATATATATAATTTTATATATATATATATATATAATATCAATGGATGATTAGTAGGGATAATTCCAAGGAAGATAAAAATCCAAAGAAAGCTCAATGTAAGAACGGAGCAATATAATAATGAATACGGAATCCTTAAAAACCTGATAGATTTTTGGAGGATTAACCTGGCCTGATGGGCTTTTAAGGATTATATATATATATATATATATATATATATATATATATATATATGTGTGTGTGTGTGTGTGTGTGTGAAAATATATAGAAAATAGGAAGGAACTGGTTAGGTAAATAATCCAAAGTCCCTTAGTATTTTAGTTATTATTTTTAAAAAATAGTGCTCGATACTAAAGTAGAGCATAAATATAATTATTGATTTAAAAATATGATTCTAACTCGCGACATAAGAGGTCTCATGTTTCAAAACAAGATCCGAAAACTTCAACATAATTATTTGAATTAAATTGAGTTAAAGTAAGCTCTGTTCCATCTTCAAGTGAAATCTTTTTTGGAAGTCCTATATGAACCTATTGATCTCTGCGTATTCCTATATCAACGGAAGTGATTTCTTGAACTGTTTATATAAAATAGTTCAATTGACTTTTTTAATATTTTAATATTTGGAAATCATCTTCGAATACGTTTTCACAACATCGCCCACGTGACGACGATGTGATCATATTTAAACGGAACGCTGATCTTATATAAAAATTTCAGTTATCTGTTTGGATTAGTTGTGCTCTTATGTCCATCGTCTTTTCGTGTTGAATTTCTTATATGTTCTAATGTTAATTATGTTTAAATGATAATGTCCTGAAGATGGTCTAAAATAGACCGAAACGTCCGACGTTGACTTTATATTAACATTAATACAGCATAATTGCATATTAAGATTTTTGTTTGTTTTTTCTGTATATTTTTCTTCATGCTGTCGGATCTATATCCATATATTTGCTTACATATATATATATATATATATATATATATATATATATATATATATATATATATATATATATACATAAATTTTAAGATTTACTATATTTATGGTTTACAGTACTTAATGTCAGTGATAAAGCGCATGTAACTATAGACGTGGACATGGAAGTCAACACCCAGAGACGACAGTCTGCTTCATGCATAAATGTTTAAACTTAAAGCAGACTATCAGGCCTGACGATTGCTTTTAAGCATATATATGTTTGTGTGTATGTTGTAGCATATTCGTTAAGGTGAGAGATACGCCCTTCTTTTCAACGACTTTCCAATACCCAGCCCACGACAAGACACCACTTGCAAGCGGTCATGACATGGCAGCATTTCTTTCTTTCATTTTTTAAAACTTTCCCTCTCATTTTCTCCCCACCCCCTTTCGGCATATTAAAAATCTGCAACTGACAGAAAGTAAAAAAACAAAACAAAACAAAACAAAACAGAAAAAAAGACTTAGCGTAATTATTCGTGTATAATACATACTAATGCATAATACGCACCACTAATTTGTTCATCTGTCTATCTGGAACTTACTGGAGAAACTTCGATGTGGTTGTCTCGCTAGATCTATTACCACTGAAAAGAGAATTCGATCCTTAAAGAGTGCCCCATGCTTCCGGCCTTATGCCACGTCTACGCTACGCTTAGAAAACCATTATCCGGTACGTATTGACTAAAAATAATATGCTTACGGCCATATCATTTTGAAACACCGCACGATCACCGAAGTTAAGCAACGCCGAGCCTGGTTAGTACCTAGATAGGTGTCCGCTTGGGAATACCAGGTACCGTAATCTTGGATGTGCGTGTCGTGCAATTGATAACGGCACGAAATTGGAGAGCTGAGTTCCAATTCCAGTCGGGTTCGTTATGTTCACGTGCAAATACTCTTGGGAAAGGCATGAATCCACTTCTTCCACCCAGCTATGGATTAATTAGTCGGACTTGTATCACTTAATTATTATTATCTCCAGAAAATTCTCACACCCTAAAAATATTTCCTTTAAAAGGTTGATAAACCGTAAATAAAAACAAATTAATAAAAATAAGAATTTGTATAGTTTGCATTAAGTTTTGAAAATAAATTTACACAGTCTTTAAAGATTGTGTAAATTTATTTTCAAAACTTAATGCAAACTATATAAATTCTTATTTTTATTAATTTGTTCTTTGTGCAAATGGACAGTCATGTTCACACAAAAATCAACAAACTTGAGGTGAAAATAAACTCTCATTGGGAGAATCAAAATTAGAGACAAACATACATATTCCAGTGACTCGTGGTTAATTTCATGTTGAGACGTAAAACAGAAGCAGACATTACTACTGCTTTCTTCTTGAGGAAGGACAAGATGACTTTGTGGACAACGACAACGATTACATTGAACATAACAAAGACCTCTACTACGCTGACAATATATATAAAACTGTCATGGTTTCTTTCTTTGACACGGACAGCACTGAAGTAAATTAAAATGCGCCTAATATTAATGTGGATAATTTTATAAAACAAACGCAATGTTAGCTTAGTAGATTATACTCTTATGTTACACATTACTTAATTTAGACCATAAACACAACTTACTTTCTCTAATACTGTCCGAGTATGGCGACGCACTTGACCCGGAAAAAAATGAATATTTAGATCTGGTGTATAAAACGCACCCGAAAATTTAGCTTTAAAATCAGGAAAAATATGCGTCTTATAGAGGAATAATTACGATATTTTTCTATTGTAATACGTATTTAAGAATTGAAATGTCATAAGTGTTCGTTGAAATTGAAGGCATCTAGTACGATTGAAATAAACCAACATTTGAAGTAGAAGACTAGGGTACATATATATATATATATACATGCGTAATTTGACCTGGTATAATGGTTAGCAAGCTTGTCTCAAGTGATTAATTTACGACTAAATAGTGAGTTCGATCCTCAGTGGTTGCCTCATACTTTCGGCGTTGTACCACAGCTATTATATATATATATATGATCGTCTTTTGTGCAAGCCCTCACCCTTTTTATTTCAATTTCACCAACTTAATAATCTTGCAGTTAGCTGTGTTAATATTTATTTTTCTCTCTAAATTGTTTTTTTTTATTTTTATTATTTTATTTTATTTTATTTATTCCCCGAGGGTGGGTAGGATTGTTACAATCGACAATTTATCAGGTAAACTGTGTAGTTATAAATAAAAACTGACCTAATTAAGAAGTGCAAGCGACACACAGACAAACACACCCACACTATCTCTTTCTCTCTTTCTTTCTCTCTCTCTCTTTCTCTCTCTCTCTCTCTCTCTCTCTCTCACACACACACATATACATACCGATATTTGATTTATCACGACTGGTTTACGTCGGTAAATAAATGAACAGGATATTGTATACAAGACTAGTTTAAAAACTTGAGTAGGCCTGCTTTTCCTTCGTTCATATGAATCGTAGTTGGCAGCTGGTGTTAGTCGGAAAGTCTTTTTAACAAATAACAGTGTCATGCGATATAGAGGAATGCCGTGGTAGGACGGTCGGCCGGTCATTGTTACCTGTCGTTACCTGGAAGAGAGATTTGACGTTGTTCATTGCTAAGTCAGAAGTGCTGAAAAGTTCTCGGCCGGTCTCATTTGTCAAAATCAGTATTTCAGTGACTAGACTTTTTTTTTATGATTTAGAGATTTGAGAAACAATGAACTAAATGTATAGAACTGCAACACCTCGCCCCCCCCGACACACACACCATCCGGTGTAAATTGACCGCTCGGCTATGGAGAGCTTCACAATAGCGCAAGGTTTTATTTGGCTTAAAGCGCATTCACTCGTTCCGATTTTCTCGAAAGCCATATCTGCTCAGTTTCGCATCAGAAACGTAAACAAAGCAATTTCTAAAGAATTAGTGGATTTTATTTTTAATCCGACATATTTTTATTACTTTACGTTATTTTTTAGTGGTTACTCATATTTGAATATACGCTACGTTTATATATATATATATATATATATATATATATATATATATATATATATATATATATATATATATAATGTTTAATATATGAACAAAGGTTTTGAGGAGAGATGTATCATAAAGTGGAAAGTTTTCGTATGACGCGTTTCGTCCCTTAGCATTTCAAACCTAATTCGATGATGTCCTAAGGGATGGAACGCGTCATACGAAAACTTTTTACATTTTGTCATACATACATACATGCACACACACGCAAGCACATCCCATATATATACACACACACACACACACACACACACACATATATATATATATATATATATATATGATGTGAGGGATAAGATGCTAGTAAATATTTTATGATTTTATTTATGTGGGACCTCAATAAAGCTTTTGGGCAATAACAAAATTTTACAGTCCTTATTAGTGCTTAATATTTAATAGTGTTATTTAATAGTGTTACTGTTATATATCGTGTGCATGTATAGTCGCATCAACGTAAACATAGATCTAGTCCGATGAAGTCACACCAAAATATATTTCGACCTTGTCAAACTTCTTTCACATTATATATATATATATATATATATATATATATATATATATAGATAGATAGATAGATAGATAGATAGATAGATAGATAAACCTAGTGAGCCAGACAAACCTACCCAGGTTTCATCTATCTAGGTTTGTTCTACGGTTGTATTGAGCTCTTTTGTTAGTTAGTTGTTTACTCATGTCGGGGTTTTTTTCTTTGGGCTTCAGACCTGTATCTGTGCGATTTTTTTCGACTGACTTTCATGTTTCTTGCTCTTTCTTTTTTAAAAACTTTTTTCCTTCGTGATTGATTTGATTATTGGCAAATCAAGATTTTCGAAACGGGTATAGTTCCTTATATATATATATATATATATATATATATATATATATATATATATATATATATTATAACTTTTTCATATAGACAGAGTTTTTGTTGCACCTTGACTGGTTGTCACAAGTAAATGCACAGAAACGAGGTTGAATTTTTGTAATGTTAAATTGTTTTTGTCTGTATGGAAACATTATAATAAATAATTATTGCTCTATTATCGGTATTGAGCCCTCTCTTGAATTAATGCTGTGAACATTAGAATTTATATATTATTTTCGTTCTCATTACATTTGGAGATATATATATATATATAAAAGTTAGTTATAATAAAAAGCAAAGGATTAAAGCAGGTGGCTTGCAGTTCGAATCGAGCGGTATCGGTAATTAATTTACTTTTGTTTACCATAGCATATTATTGTTATAAAGCATAACTTTTTTAATAATAAATTTTTCAACTGTTGATTAATTGCTATGTTTTAATTGTTATTGTAAGTAACTGTATATTGACTTCATTGCCACCTTGTATACAAAATCTTTGTGTATAAAAATATGAATTAAGCGGATTAATAAAAATGCCACTTTTTTTTTTTTTGTCTTGCAAACCCAGACGATTCGCTGAATAACGGATGTATATGTTTGTTAGCAGGCACCCCTCACCCCACCTAAACTTAACCGGTGTTTGTAAATAGCATATATCGGATACATAAGCTCTCTAGGGAAATTAAAATCCAACCACTCCTAATCAAAATAGATTGAATTTTCTTTAACCTTAACAACTCATAATATTAAAATTGTCTAATCTTATAAATTAAGTAAATTTCTTAAAAAGTTATTCCTTACATCGCTTGACAGTGGATTTTAAGTTTAATTTGTATAATTAAATTTATAAATTTACTTTCAGTTTTGAAACATATAAATTTCTGTGTCGCGATGGAACCATATTTTTAAAAAAGAAAATAATTATAATATTTTGCTCTGCTATCTGTATCGAGCACTTTTTTTTTTTAGATAAAAATAAGTGCTAAGAACCCCGGATTGTAAATCTTACTGTTCTTTCTTATCATTTCAATATATATATCTCACTTATTATAAAACGCAGATTGTGTGTGTGTGTGTGTGTGTGTGTGTGTGTAACGTTTATATATTGGATCGGATTTCCTACATTTTTCAACCGATTTCAACAAAATTCACAGGACTACATAAAATTACCTTGTGGTGGTTCTAACAGCGCCAAAATGGGAAAAATATAATTGTTTTTGCACAAAATCAATTGGAAAACACGATTAAGAGACATCGTGAAAATGGAAGGGGGACAACTCACATCGGGTTGTTTGTGTGTGGGGGTTCCTTTAAATATGGGATCGGATTTCCTATATTTTTCAGCCGATAAAACAAAAATTCATTTTTTTTTTTTTTGGCAGGTAGTGTTTCTTATTCTCTTGCAAACTTTTTTCATTATTTTTAATATTCAGAATGCTTTAAAAATTCCATTTACAAGAAAATTGTTTATAATAAAATTCTATTCAATCGGGAGACTCATAACGATTGAAAACAATGTTTATGTTTGAGTTTGGTTTTGACTAATTCGTAAAAAATACAAAAAGACAAACTAATTAAGACATGCATTTCCGTCAACCTTAAACAATAATCTAACGATCTCTACTGATTGTACGAATACAAACATCGGATAAATTCTTTATCTTTAGGGAAAGATAATGAAATCTAAACATACACAAGTCCTAACTAAAAATAATAACCGGAAACTACTTTAAATACACATGGTGTCCAATTTTTTTACTGTATTCAATAAGTAAAACTCATAAATTGTAAAAGATTATTATTACAGAAAGGCTACTAAATGAATAAGATTTGTTTAAAGTTAATATTTTTTGTATTAGAAACGAGTGGAAACTATATTCAAATCAGAATTCTAATTATGAATCACCACAAGCAAAA